GAGGTGAGACAGACAAGAAGAGTGAGGCGAGACAGATGAGAGGAGCGAGGAGAGACAGACAAGAAAATAGCGAGGCGAGACAGACGAGAAGAGCGAGGCGAGACAGACGAGAATAGTGAGGTGAGACAGACGAGAAGAGTGGGGTGAGACAGACAAGACGTTGAAAGAAACATTTGTTTCTTATTTAATTGGTTCTACATTGTTTGCTGATTTTTACTTTATTTAAACTTTGTGTCATTTATTTATTTTATTTGACATCAAGGTGTATGCCGTACCTCCAAGCTTTCTTACTCGTTTTGCTAATAAACTTTCTACATTTCTTATTTATTTGTTTATATATTATACATGTTTACTTATTTCCAGTTTTGTATACCTATTTAAACTTTATGTAAGTTATTTTTTATTTTATATTAGGCATAGCCTGCCCTATATGTATTTGTATTTGTTTTGTTAATAAAAGTTCTATATTTTATATATAGGCTAAAGTGAGTTTGACGTCATTTTGTTGTTGCATTCAAGCAACCGACCTGCCGCTAATTTGAAAGTGAAAGTAAAATGTGCACGGTGCTTTTAAGCTATTTAAAAGCGAAGGAAAGTGAGGAAAAGAGGCAAAATTCAAACAAACTAAAAATGAACAATTGCTTTACGCCGAATTGCCGCTATTTGAAAGTGAAAGTAAAATGCGCACGCCCAGTGGCATAGCGAGACACTCCCGGGCCCATATGCAAAAAAATTGTACGGCCCCCCAAACGTTAGGGGCTCCAACTCGGTTAACTTATCTCTTAGGCCCTATTGTTGATTTGAAGTAAATAACGTTACATGAATCGTGAGGCACGCTGCTTTTGCAAGCTATTTAAAAGAGAAGGAAAGCTAGGAAGAGGGAACGCCCCCGCGGTGATACCGGTATTATCGGTGTTGTCACACGTCGATTAACCAGTGGGAACATTTCCTCACCGTCACAACCCTAATCAAGACTACGGGAAAATAACTGGAAGGTTCATTGTGATCTTTCCCTGCTTCTGAAATATGAATTATTTGCACTTCTTTTCAAAAAAAAATTCAAGGCAAATACAAGATGACAGTATGAGGTGAATTCTTTAAAAACTGACTGTGGATGTTGTCTGGACCTGTTTATGGCTGCCATAGTTCTTCCGTGATGAAAGGTTAAAAATTCTTCTGCCGCCTGAACTGCTTGAAAAGCTTCCTTTTCCCCCCTAAACATTTCAGCAAGTACATTAGTAGTTTCCTGTTTTGTGGTTAATATTTCATGTCCAAGATTAATAAGCTGAATTTGAGGGCCCATCATAACGCTAATCAGATTCCTTATTCATTAAACGTTCTTCAATGCTGGATACAAATTATCTCCAACTTTTAGCCTCGTTAATTTATCTGTGTGCTTGTGCTAAGCTTATTTTGATTTAATGAGGTTGTCAGTTGTTCTAAAGAAATGCCTTTCTACTCTTTTTGGGTGTTTTTTTTTTTTGGCAGTTGCCTTTCAACTATGCCAGACGATTGTGTTTAATATTTGGTGATATTTTTGGAATAGCATCATATCTTCAGAAAAAGCATTCAATCTCTAAAGGTACAAGTCTGCTTTTTTAAAATGCCTCTCTATTTACACTAGGCCCTTCTCCTCTTCCTTTTAAATTAGAATAAGTGGAAATTAATCATTTGCACACAAACTCTTCATTAAGCTACTATACACTATTTAAGCCTATTCGATTGGTTGGGCTATTAATAAAGGAACAGTTGTTCACAAATGTTTGATTCATGATGTTCAATGTAAAAAGAGATAAAAACATACATTAGTACATTTGTTTTCAGTCATCACAAACTGACCTTTTTATAACATCAAAACTGGAAATCAGTGCCATCACTAGGTCAGCATATCATTACCAGCATGAATCATCATCCGCACGTCATCCATACCTGTTATGAAATATGAACTGCAGCCTATAATGTCAAATAACTAAAGCACACCACTGTAATCCAGAGAAACATCTCACTTTTCATCAACCAGTGATGATGCTTACTTTCAGAGAAATCCATCCCAAACAGCCATTATTTGTTATGTGGATGGATCACGGATGGAGCGAGACAACTATCTAATGATCCCCTGCACTTTCTCAAACATACACCATTGATCATCCTGCAAATATCAATCTGCACATGACAGACAGAGTCTCTCAGAAGTCACAATAAATGATCACTGATGCAATAAATCCACTCAAACACTCTATACAGAGCAGCTCTTGCCACAAAGCGTTCAATCTGCTAACACTAATACATCCACTGCATTAAACCGAGAGCACAACAGAGTCCATGAGAAGGAGAAAAGACCAGCCTGCCTACCTCACTCGCTCGTCACGTTAAGATCTCAAGCACAGCAGAAAACGAGAGCTGAACTGCTGCTGCTTCAGCGCAGCCTGACTCATTGAAACAGAGAAGGAGGGAGGAGAGCGAGAGAGAGAGAGAGAGAGAGACAGCCCAGCATGCTGGCTGACATCATCATCATCACACCCAAGGCCTGAAGAGAAGGTAACCATGGCAACCGCTGCACACCCACAGGCTTTCACCTCAGTTACCATAGTTACGTTCCCCATGAGTCTCTCTCTCCTCATTGATCCATCGGTGTTCAAGCAGCCGATAGCTTTCATACGCAGCTACCCACCATCAAAACATTGCAGCTGCGCCCACGCAAGCAGCGCTTGGGTCGAACAAAATTAGAAAGAAACCACATTATAACATAAACTACTGATTTATGTTTGAATAAAAAAGCGAAACATTTTAAGTTTATTGCTTTAAATATATACAAAATGCAAGTAGTAAATGTAGGGAGAATGACTCTGCTGACATCCTTCACAATGCAATGCGGTAGAGGGCGGCTGCCCGAGCTCGCAATATCCGTTTCCATGGTAACCGCAGCCTCTCTGATGGAGCTCTTTTCAGAACTCATGGGTACTGTAGTTCTTATTACTTGTTTTATTATTTAAAATCACTCTGACTTACGGCTTCAGCAGAAGCATACCTGTATATCACCACTTACATTCAGAGTAGGTAGAAACCACATATTTAAATTCAACAGCAATACAGAACTGCAGGCTTTTATTACAGTATTTGTTGTATATTGTATTTGAATCCGTTTCTCCTAAAATCCCAGATATATGCTCATGTTTAACATTTACACAGTTATATACAGAAATATGTTTTGTGTTGGTAAGTTGGCAGTGCGTAAACATGCACATGAAATTTATGAAATATTTATGATATTTGAAATGTATTTTTCGCTTGTCCTGTTCAAACTGAAGATATCAAATTAAAACATATTGTTTCTATTAACTGTTTTCATCCTGACCCATGTAAACAGTTAAAAAAAAACTTTTAAAACACTCATGAAGAAGAAAAACCTAAAAGCATGTAACCATTCAATAAGTCACAAAAAAAAACCATGCCATCCAACGGGTCATGAAACACTAGAATTTCTGAGATTTTAACAGTAACATATATGTCACAACATAGAAGACATTAGCATTTGTTCATTTTAAATTCAGGTTTAAAGGTTATGTTGTGGTTCATTTGTTAATTTAATGTTTGTGCTATTTTCATCTTCTGTGTCAACAGGATGTGAAAGCAGTGTCACTTCAAACTGTGAGAGATTACAACGCAGTAGAGAGATGTGAGTTTGAGTGTTGCATGGCTTTCTCCACAGTCACTGTTTCTAAGCTGTCCATCTATGCTGTGGTCAAACGGCTTATTTGTGAATGTCACAAAAATTCAATTAAGAGAGAAAAAATAAGGAGATGTTTTTCTTTTTTTCATCCAACTGAAGTGTGATATTTATGGGAACTTGATGTTTTTTACCCTTGAAATAAAAAAAAAAAACTGATCGGATCAGGTGTTGTTGTGTGGTCTCCCCTCTTCTCTGCAGTATACTATGACCTTCTTTCTTTTTCTTTTTTTTGCTTAAAGCAATGGTTCTCAATTCCAGTCCTCGTGTACCACTGCTCTGCACATTTTGTATGTGTGACTTTTGTTCTTTTCGACCGTAAGTGCACTGCGAAGTGGACATCACAGGATATTCCTCCATGATTCCAGCTCGAAGTGAGAATATGTGACCCTGGAGCACAAAAGCAGTGTTAAGTCGCTGGGGTATATTTGTAGCAATAGCCAACAATACATTGTATGGGTCAAAATTATAGATTTTTCTTTTATGCCAAAAATCATTAGGACATTAAGTAAAGATCATGTTCCATGAAGATATTTTGTAAATTTCCTACCGTGAATATATCAAAACGTAATTTTTGATTAGTAATATGCACTGCTAAGAACTTCATTTGAACAACTTTAAAGATGATTTTCTCAATATTTTGATTTTTTTTTTTTGCATCCTCAGATTCCAGATTTTCAAGTATCTCGACCAAATATTGCCCTATCCTAACAAATCATACATCAATGGAAAGCTTATTTATTCAGCTTGATGTATAACTCTCAATTTTGAGAAATTGACACATAAGACTAGTTTTGTGGTCCAGGGTCACATATATGTTTCATTTAAAGGGCATTCAATTGTGCAAGATGTGAATTTAAATTGTATTTATTTACAGATGTATATTATGTCACACTTCTCTAGTGAGTTTCATCTGTGTGTGAAGACGCTGCAGGCCGTGCAGTAGCGCAAATCCGTGAATGAATGTTCCGAAGTGAAGTGAACTTCAACAGATTTCCTGTGCTTAGGGAGTAGGGAGCAATGAACTCTGGGTGCGTCTCAATCAGCTCCCGAGCTCGTGAATCAGTAGATCGTGTACACGAATTCGGTCACTGGTAAGTTCCCTGGCTCACTGCACATTGGGACAGTGATTACTCAAATTCCAGTGACATGATTACGTACAACATCAACGGACAACATTGTAGAACGTCACCGCTAGAATTAATCAACAACAGGCAGGACCAATCTCTTTTTTTATATTATTTTTGATTCTCTTTAAACATATTGTTCTTTTACATGTTCTTACAACATTTCAGCTGAATATCAGTTATAAATGTTACCTAGATGTGTTTATGTCCTGTCTAGCGATGTGTTTATGCTGAAATATACAAAAAAACGGTTTGTCTTTTCAAATCTTCTATCGCGTATCATTATATTTAATCGCGTTTACTCGTGTGGTTTATGTTTCACACTTCAGAAATGTGTGACACTTTTTGCAGTGCATTGTGGGATTTTTCAAGGAGTGAACGTTCCAGTGCACTGGAAGGATTTCACGATTGAGACAGCCCTTAAAATGGCTGACTCCCTGATCAGTGCCCTGACTACTGAACAAGGGAACTGATTGAGACGCACCCACTGTGTAGGGATCATGTCAATCGGAACACAGCTCATGCATGAAGCTCTCTTCTAACGAGCTGGTGATCTGAATCAGGTGTGCTAAATAAGAGAGGCATGCAAAATATGCAGAGTGGTGGAGTGTGAGGACTGGAACTGAGAACCACTGGCTTAAAGGAATAGTTCACGCTAGATGAACATTTGCTGAATATTTACTCACACTCAGAACATCCGAGATGTAGATGAATTTGTTTCTTCATCAGATTTGGAGAAATGTAGCATTGCATCAGTGTCTCAGCAGTGGATGCTCTGCAGTGAATGGGTGCCGTCAGAATGAGAGTCCAAACAGCTGATAAAAACATCACAATAATCCACACCACTCCAGTCCATCAGTTAACATCTGGAGAAGACAAAAGCTGAATGTTTGTAAGAAACAAACCCATCATTAAAGTGTTTTTAACTTTAAGCCGTTGCTTCTGGCCAAAATACGAGTCCATAATCCACAATAATGTAATAATTAATAACTGCAATAATTTTGGACTGTTTTCGCTTGTAAATTGTGCTTGATCTATGCGTATTTCTCTGCTAAGTCACTTTTTTTCCACTTCACAAGGATTTAATTGATGGACTGGAGTGGTGTGGATTATTGTGATGTTTCTATCAACTGTTTGGACTCTCATTCTGATGGCAACCTTTTCACTGCAGAGCATCCACTGCTGAGCAAGTGATGCACAAGTGATTGGCTGGCGCGCCGATAGCCAAAGCCACCACGCCCCTCACTTATTAGCGCTGCTATTTAGTTAAGCTTTTCGGTCCCACTTTATATTAAGTGGCCTTAACTACTATGTACTTACATCAAAAAACAAGTACAATGTACTTATTGTGTTCATATTGTATTGCAAACACTTTTGCTGCTATTGAGGTGGTAAACGGGTGAGGTTAGGGACGGGTTTGGTGGTATGGGTAGGTTTAAGGGTGGGTTAAGGTGTAAGGGATGGGTCAACAGTGTAATTATAAATGTCGACGAAGGAGGCTTGCGGCAACCACATGTGACGACCCCGGGCTGGACTCCGCTTCGTCCACGGTGAAAGCCGATCCGGCGATCCACAGCGTGAAGTTGATGTATTTCCTCAGCGACCAGCACGGATCAGCTCCAGGCATGACGAAGCAGATATCATCCTCTTTTGGAAGACCAAACAAAGTAGTTTCGCTTTCACAACGAAACACACAGCGTCTTCACGACATGGCGGCAGCAACAATACTACATGGAGAATAAAAGTTACGCCTTCTTTCTTTGCGTGAACATTTGGGCGGCGTTATGCAAATCTTCCCACATAGTGAGGTAGACATGTGGGGGCGTGTTAGAACGAGGCATTTTAGGTAGGCGTGGCTGACTCTTAACTTTTATAAAGAATATCTCTTTGGATTTGAGACTTTAGTCTTTGCAACTTTACAGATCTTCTTTATGCACCAAGAGCTTGTAACACTCCAAAGAGAAAGGAAACATATGACCCCTTTAACACTAAATACAGCAAACAGTCATCCAAAACACGATGAAAGACAAAACACACTATAACACACCAACAATAATAAAAAGCATGAATAATACCAACGTTTTCAACGTAAAAGTGTACGATGTAAAAAAAATATATTTTTTAACTTTAATAAATGTATTAAAACATCAATAAACATTTCTAAGTTCATCCGAATAAGCAACAGTCTCTTATCTGATCCACACAGCCTTCATTCAATCAACCATCTGTTTGAGAATAAAACGCCACATTTGCTATAACATACAATTCCGTAATTGCTGTAATAAACACGTTTTGATTGTTACATATTCATAACAGTCCGAAAGTAGCTGGCTAAGTTAGTTGCTTTGCTAACCGACGACTTCGTGTGAAGTTCAGTCAACGGTTCAAAACCTGAGAAAACACTGGCCGAACGACGGGCTTCTGTAAGACTGCAAACAACATAACAGTATGACAAGCTCTGCTCAGGCTCGGAGAAATGAGGCATTTACCTGGGCTCTCTGTGCTGGTTTCGCTCATGTTCAGCGGCAGTCAGACCAGTGTAATCGATACGCGTCGCGAGCTCGACCACGTGA